GGGGGGAGGTGTTTCCATTCAAGAGTGATATCTTAGGAGATGTCCCCAGGATAGGAAATCTCTTGACAAAAAAAGTTTTCTCATAGGATTCAGTATTTCTAACACTGTACCGCGCACCCAGTGGTTTGGTGTCAGGAATTTAGCTTCATTTCCCACACCATGGTTTTTAGTCCCTCAAACAATTCCTTTGCCGTGGGCTCTATAAGAGATGCTGGAAGAAGGAATCCATAATGTCCATTGTCACGTAGCTCTACTGCAAACGCATATTTTACTCCCAATGAGCCGTACACATAATCCTGGAAGGTCCCAAAACATAAATCTGAAATAAGGAAGATGAAATAGTAGTATCAGGTGATTTGACTGTTACGTATTTATTTTTTCACTGTTCGCGCTAAACTACATTTTGGGTTAAGATGTTCATAATATAACTATGAGAGAATTTTTCAATGTGTACTAGGTTCTTTCCTCTGTATAGCAGGAATTCTTTCCGTTTTGTCAGATTGACCAGTTTGACTACCTGCTGTAAAATGAGACAACATTTTCCGATCAAACTGGGCCAAAGGAGAAGTGTGGCTACTGTTTTGTTTCCGGTGTTATTTATACAGTCGAACCCCTATTAAGCAGTCACCCTCTGGGAAATGGGAAGTGGCCGCTTAATAGGGGTTGGCCGCTTAGGGAAAGTTCGTCAAATTTTTGCGCGAAACTTAGTTGAAACGTCAATTTATTCCATTACGCAAACATGCCTGCTGCACATGATAAAGACTACGTATCACTGTTTTCCTGAGACTTGTCACAAAAATACTATATTCTTTTTAAAGAAATCACGCGCTCTTCACTTCAGGTTAATTGCTTCGTGAACATGGAATCACGCGTCAAACAATCATAACAGACGTGTGTTTGAATGTTATAATCAGTGGTCACCTTCAATTTTGGATTCTTATCTGTCATCGCTTTTACCAAAACAAAACCAAACTACGTGTATAGATCGTTTTCACGTAATAATGTCATCATTTTCTAAAATCCAAAACTAAAGAGCCACCACAATTTTTATCCTCATCAGGCATAAGAGGGGGTAAATTTATATCTGTGTACAATTTTATAGCTCAATGGTGTGTTTCCTTTGGAAACCTGCGCATTTTGAATTTCAGAGTTATGGCGCTGCCCCGGATTAAAACAAGCTAGCGATAGTTACGAAGAAGAATGGCTCTTACTCTTTGTCATTCCTTACGCCGATTCCCCTCATAAGTCAAAATCTCCTCAAGAGAAGCAAGGCAGGGCAAACTTTCAATCGATGTTCATTTGTGCAAAACCTTTTTTTTAAGTTTCTTAATCAATAAACACTATTAGTATAGGCAGGGAATAGCAAGAAATAACAGATTACATGGGTATTAAAAAAAAACAACTTAGGGTTAGCAGCCGGGGTTAGGGTTACCTCAAGTTCGGGTCAGAATTCTCGCTACTGAGAGGCTGAACTGAGGGTAATCACTCCCTTGTGCATCGACTATTTCGATGGGATAGGAGCGGGCAAGAGACGATCGATGATCATCGTCTTTTGCAGCTTATTTGCTGTCTCTCAACGTGCGACATTACAAATGCCTACTTACACAGCAACCTCGATGAAGGACCCAGTTTGTAGGTTGTGTTAAATTCCATTGATTTGATAGCATTCACTGACGCACTGCCAATCCTCATCTGCAACTCATGCAAATACACAATTAGGCTCCTCAGCCAATCTTAAACCGTAATAAAACAAAACCAAAACAAAGTAATTGCCTGATTACTTTTGAAAATTGAAAACCGCAAATTGAAAACCGCTGCAAATCGTGCATGTTCTATAAAGCAGTTACAAGGGAGTAGTTCAGTTTGTTGCACTAGCGTCTCTGGAGCTTTTATATTTGGGAAACACTTTTGTAAAACACTAAAAAAAACTTCGTAATACAAAGGCATAAATGGATTGTGGACCTATTTATTGCTTCTTATTAACATTAAGACCACTTCGTACACGATAGCATAGTATCTATACTACCATGGAAGCAGTACATACAAGTACTCATTGCGTTGCTCATTGTTTCAGCCTCTCGGGAATTCCGGGATTAATTTAACGAGGAATCAGTGTAACACCACTGTCATCCTCCCTGGCCGGCGACACTTGGCGGGTTACCCATGGAGTTTTGGCAACCAATTTAAAGCTTAAAGGAACAAATATTACATATTTTGAATTTGGTCATAATTTGTTATGGTCTCTGGCATTTTCAATCACTGTTCAGTACCGTCTCCAGAGAGTAAATTGGTCCGATATGTTTCAATGCCTTTCTGTTAACATGTAAGCACTCTATAATTTCTCGCGCCTGCTGAATGCTGATTGGTCAATTCAAATTTACAGGCACCGGCCGCATCAAAAGAGGTCCAGTCGCTGAAGTATTCCTTCCTTGCCCTATATAATTGTCGGGCCGATGTCACGGACCAAACTAACTATGATATACACCATAGCAAAAATCACAACACAAGAATCCCTTGTAGTCCGGACCCTGCAAACTTCTCAATCTGCAGTCCATTGCGAATACCAACAGAACTGAAACAGACCTTTCATGGGGCCCTTTATCTTTTACCACACTCAGCTGAGTTAAATGAGAAATAATAGATAGTGTATAGTAGAATTACTCACGAGTTCGTCATAGTCTTTAACATTTTCCTTGGCATATCCCCAAGGAATCATCCACATTTGACTGTAGTTATGCACATCAAGAAATCCCACAAGCCTTTTCTGCTCGGATTTCAAGAAACGATCCACGTTCTGAACCTCGTTTTCAGACATGACTGATGAGCCCTGGTAAACGCCATTGCATGGTTTATCAGACGCTCCTGGAGCTAAATACACATTAGCCCAACAATTAATCGAACTCTTATAAAAGAAATGTAAGACTAAATTTCTAAGGGTGTTCAACATGGTTTGTCTTCAGTTTCACAAACCCGCCAAGTATCAAGCTGATTAGATCAATGTTAATACGATCAAAATCGACTTCTACAGTCCAACCTTTACTTTAGACACGTCCATAATAAAGAAACTTAGCTTTGCCCATTTGGTGGCCGTATTAAAAAGTTTCAACTGTGCTTATCTATGCGAATAAAGAACGAGGTGCTGAGCGAGGGATCTTTCTGTTTTAACAAAAAAAAAACTTAGTAACTGATCTATTAAACACAGTTTGACTCCGTGAAATAAAACCATTGATTTAACGACGGTTTTATTTAATAGTTGTCGGCAAACCTATAAGAAAGACCTGCATGTAAGTTCCAAAGACAATAGTTTCTTAGCTAATCAGAGATTAGCTAAGAAAACGCAATGAAATGAAGGTTATATTATTGGTCGAAAATGACCGAGGGCGGATCTTGGATCTTAGATTCTCTTGGAGAGTGAGTTTAATCTAAGTTACCTCCCCATCCAACTTGCCAGTTTCTATTCAAATCTGTACCAAAACACGTAGATCCTTTGTTGGGGCTTCTGTTCTTTCGCCACAAACGGTCCTAGAATGTTAAAATATTAGGGGCGTTTAGATCGGTCTACGATTACGAGTTTTCATACATGGTCGTTATCCTTTCGACTATCAGGTTTCCATCGAAAAAAAGTCGACCTGATACTCTTCCATTCAGCTGAATCCAGCAACAGAGATAAGTGAGGCTTAATTTATTGGAGCGTATTTGAAAAGATAATTTGAAAGTCATACCTATATTCTCAATCTAGTTCTCCTACTGCTATCTAAAGATCCATATTGATTAGGTACTTTTTATTTCATTGCCTTTCTACTTCTTAATTTCTTCATCTCCTCAATTTTAGAGAGGATCATCTGGACTACCTGCGATAATTACTTCTATAGTTGCTACGCAAGCTAGCAGGCTTTTATCTAAGCCTACTTTTTTTTATTGAGTAAACACAGGAAATGAAGTGAAGATATTTGACAAGATGTTGTTTCCCCGATTCGCAAATATTTTGCGCTTTATTTAATTTTGATTCCATGAAGTCACAGACAGGCTAGTCAGGCCTCGTTAATAAATGTATGAGTTCAGATTAGCCTGAAAACGACACAAGATAGCCTAAAGGTAAAAAAAAAAAGAAGTCTGCACACGAGACAAGTGGTCCATCAGACCGGAGCTTATCCCGCGGTTTCTGTAGCATGAAGCGAATAGGAGTATTTCAACTCCCCCCTGGATGGGATGCTAGTCCATTACAGGGTTATCCCCAGCATTAAGATCTCTTAGTGCTGACTAATTACGAAAGTATTTTGATGAAATACAAATCTTACTTTAGTCCAGGTGTAGGCGTAGCCGTCAACATTTAAGACAGGTAGAATAGCAAGGTCTATTTTATTCATCATGGCTGTCACATTAGGGTCCTTACCGTACAGGAAAACAATCTAAAAGAAACATTCTGCTGATGGTCGTCACCTGTTATCAAAAGTTCTCAACCTCATTAATAATTCATTAAGTTTAAACAATGGAAATCATGACCGTGACGGTGTTTGGATATCTGATCTTAATTAGCATAGATTTTTACGATTTTATTTCTCCGTTTTCTCCTCAGTTTTAGTCTTGATTGAAAAGATATATCAAACACTCAAGACAGTGTTCGACCACATTTCCAAACACCTCAAATTTCGTCAAAAATACTCCGCTGCGCGTCGTATTTTCAACTTTCTTCTCGGTGTTTGGAAATTTGGTCAAGCACGGTCTTTCGTTCTAATTTGAATAACAATACTTTATACATCCTTAGCCTCGTCCTAATGTTTCCAGACAAAGGATTTTTCACATGGTTGTGAGGCTTAGGATGTATAAGTATTGTTATTTAAATATCGCTGCCATTTGTGCAAAGGGTCTATTACTTCACTATCTCAAAACTCACATTCACACTATGGTTTACGTATGCAATAACATCGATCATGGGTGACAATATACTTTTTAATTTTGGCACCAAATTTCAGCGTTAATTTATAATTTCACGTGTGAAATGCAAAATTACCTTGGCAACGTTAGGTGCGAAATTTTTCGATTCAATGAGCAAGTCAAAAACCCACTGCTGTAAGCGTATTTTTCCAAACACGATATTAAGAGGTAATCAAATGGTATACTTGTGAAATTAGGAAATAATGTCACTTACGCTTTGCCAAAATTCTAATAATTTCCTTCGTCACCTAAAGGTTCGGGAAATTATAAGAATTTTGACAAAACCCGCATGAAATGTTTTCCTTATTTCACTTGTTACCATTTGATTACCCATATTAATCTACATCATTACGTTGGTAATCTCGCTTTCATGCATGGCTACAGCGCTGAGTAGAAGTAATTTCTCTTTCAGTAGCGAAATGCTAGTCTAACGTCAGGCTACCCTCAAGCATTTTTCCAGGCTGCATAATTAAAAGTTCCTCTCCACCCTTTTGTACACCTGAGTAGAGAGAGGCACTGTAAGAAAAAGGATTCTCGCCCAAGAGCACGACATAGTGAGTCCGGATTGTACTCCATCCTCCCGACCCACTAACCAACAGAGCTGTAAGTTTCCCTAACATCATCAAGCGACATTCAAGTTAAGTACCTGATGTGTGATGTACATACAAGATGCCGGAGAAACCCACTCTCGAGCGTGAATACCACAGTTTAGAAATACTAAAGGTTTTAACAGCTTTTTATCTGTCTGGATCTGGCGAAGGATTAAAACAAAACAGTTACAGAGTAATAAAGAAAACCATGTTGTTGTGTTTTATAGAACTGGCGCTTAACTGACTCATCGATCGGAAAGAACTTTAGGCTTATATGTTGGAAGTGATTTTCGTATGACGAGTTTTCAAACCAAGTTAGAAGACTACGTTATAACCCCGCGCTAAACTTATTCAGCCATATGAAAATCAAATCAAGTTCTACAAAGAACATTAATTGAAATATTGTTACCACCACCCCACATACAATGTTGAAAACTAGTACCTGCAATTTCTCATGCGTTTCAACATTGCATTGGGTGGGGAGGGGGGTGGGGGGGGAGTGGACAGCACCGCATTGCCTTACATCACTGTCTTAAGGGATTTTGCCACACATTGCTGGTGAGTACTATATCAAATGACCTTTCCCATCCCAGATTGGAAGTACTGTATTTTTGACAGTGGGAGGAGTAGGTTTATTTCAAAGGAAAACTGATATTAGAATTTTACGGTGATGGCGTTGTACGTCTCCTCATGAATGAAGTGTTTTTATAACATTTTAACCCCATGCAAGTGTGGAAATCAAACTCAAATCGACAACATAAAACACACAGATGTTTGTGGTTTTCAGTTAGAGTTTACATGACCTTCCCATAAATGCAATTCCCTTGTTGATTTTGTAATTGTAGTTATAATAATCATACCTTTAATAAATATTGCTCCCTGTTTTCGTACGATTTACCAAGACTGTTCATGTACACTAGATTCGATGTTTGATTGATCGCTTTCATCCATGATACAATCTTAAAGAATTAACCGAAAAAATAGTAACATCAACGGCAGTTATAAAAACAATAAAATTAAATGAATTTCAGGGGCAGCAGTTAATACTACACCTGTTGACTTATTCCTGACTACCCATACAAGTTATTTGCTAAAAAAAACAACACATATAATATTTATCTGCTTCCCACTCACCCTTCTCACAGTGCATTTCACCATAATAATAACAATGGCCTTAATGTAATGCATATGATATAGAATACTCACCTTTAATTTTATCCTGTGTTTTTTGTTACGTGGTAATAAAATAGTTACACAAGCTCTCTCAACGCTTCCTGAGAAATATTGCCCTAATCACCTGCATTTTGTTTGAATTAATGAAATACCATACATAAACTGTAACAAGCAAACAGTGAATAAGGCTTTCACTTCTTACAGACGATACAAAATTTGCTAAGCAGTTAACACAAACGCTTGACAACAGGACATACAGAACAATGTTATATTGTCCTAATCTATTTTACAGCAACAGATTCATTTACCCAATCATCCAGTCAATTGTAAGCCTGCTGATAGCTAAGATACACGTCCATGGAGGAACTTGACGCTTATTGATGTGCCATAAACATTTTAAATAAACACTTTACTGCCCAAATCATTTCATATCTAAAAGCGTGAATGAGTTGGCTCATAGAACTCTTTGATTCTGTAAATGGATGACGCTTACTTTCATTTATAATATAGATGGGACCATGCGCGCGCTCTGATTGGTCGAAACCCATGTTTTATCAGAGTATAAAACATAGAAAAAGCGTGTTTTATTGTTTTTCGTCACATTACCTCTATATCATAAAGTAAATGAAGAAGCCTAAGCCGTGTATCACACTCTGATAAAACACTCCGGACATTTGAGAGCACCGACTCAAGAAATGCTCTCAAATGCCCGTCGTGCTTAGGTTTCTTTATTTGTTAAATATTTCCGATTTAAGTGTAGAACTCTGTGGTTATTCATATTATAAATAACGCTGCGTGGTAATTCTGAATAAACAATAATAGAATGGTTAATATTATGACTGGGAAATATCGCATAATAAATACCTTATCTAAGGGGTGATATTCACTATACCAAGATGACGCTCGGCTGTGTACATCGTTTTGTCTGTTGATGACGGCTTGCAGATCAAATATCTGCACTATGTGACGAATCTTGTATTGATCTAATAATTTCGTAAGCTTTAGAAATTCGCGAGGGGAAACACGCATGTCTACTGTACTACCAGGATGTGATGGAGGTCGCCAAAAATCTGCCTGCAATATAGAAAATAGTTCAGCATTGCATAACCTGGGATAATCAATTGATAAGTCCGCAGTATGTTGATGCCACGTCCTACGGCAACGGCAACGAGAACGTCACCAAACTAAATAAATAAAGACACTGATTGCTATTCTGTGTCTTTAGTTTACCCTGCGTCTAGCTTAACCTGTATACCGGTTATATACATGTTTTCAAGAATTGTTGGGCTCATTCGAATTTTTCACTGCCCATAAAACAACAGAGCTATTTTTTAATCAGCTTCTTGATCTCTGGTTAGCGCTTAGAATAACAGTCGACAAAAAGGTCGTTATTGGGTGCGTGTGTAAACATCTTCGGTGGAGCTATCACTGCACCTCATTTAGTAGGTACGTAACGCCTGCACGAGTAGTGTACGTTGGCCAGATAAGAAATGGCCAAATAAGAAAACGCGTCGCCGCTAAAATTTTTTTTATCGTTTCAGGAGAACAATCTGGTTATCTCCACTGTTCAACTGAATCATAGAAAGAATTAGCTTTATGGCTAATTCTGTTTAAAGACCTTATATTGTAAAATGTATAATTATAAGACACGAAAGGAATCGTGATACAATACCACTAAGAGCTCGGCATCTTGGAGGCGAGACAGTAATTTAACTTCGGCAAAGCTTGATGGAAAAGCCCTCACAATTTTATGGCTGAAAAGCAACCACAAAAGTCAGGACGTTAAGAAACCATGACAAGGACTCCGAAAGTCATCTTGGATTGGAAAATTAAAGTTATACCGGTTAAGTTGTTTCACTTAAACTGTAAAGTACGAGATCTTAAAGGGAGAAAACCCTTCATGCAGAAGGTCCCTTTTAATGGAATAGATTTGTTAGTATAAAGTAGTAATGACCTAGTGGCTTGATCGTTGCTAACAACCTTTATTCAGGAGGTGCGTTTCCTTGGGAATCGAATGTATTAATAAGCAATTTTAAAGAGAATTAGAACTTCTCTTGGAGGTGATATTGGAGTCCGTTGTTAGGTAGGTTATTCCTCTTCGATTAATAAATCGAAAGGGCGAAAAATCTGTCCGTAACGCGTAAGAGGTATATATTCCTGTTTGTAGGGTCAATTACAATGGTCTTGCAGAATTCGAAGAACATCAAAAGAGCATCTACCAGGTACAAGTATGGAATAGTACAAGTAGGTCAATAGTGACTTACCCGCGATACGCTGTTTCAGCTTTGGTTTCTTTCATTACAGTCATCATTAAAACTAAGGTCAGGAATGCGCCGAAGTTTGTCATCCCACTTGAGTTCTTGAAATGTATGCTACATAAAATGAAACCAATAATGAATTCAGAAAGTTTTTAGTGTCGAAAGCATTATATCTTTAACACTAGTTGTAAAGCAATTTATCTGCGCAACAGGACCTGTTGTAGCACGTGTAACGAAAATAACAATGAACGTATCTTGAGTGTTTGATAATGTCCCATAATAATATAAGTAGATGAACCAACAGACCTTCTATTTCCTCTAAATCACTCTGGGATAAACCTGATAAGGAGGCTTTCTAAACTTAAAATGACTATTCTTATTAATTGTGTATTCACTGCATGTTTTTATTTTCAATTTGATTCGTGTCTACATGCGATCTGACAAACTGTAAGCACGTTATAGACTGCCCCGGTAGAATTCTATCGTTTTACTTGTTTGATCTCATTTATAGAAGGCCTTCTCTGGGACCTTAAGTCGCCTAAAGTGTTATAAGCGCAAGTTCAAAATGTTAATTCTCCTTACTTGTAACTGTACATTTTATTGGTTGTAGTTAAGAGAATTAGGTGTTGCATAAAGACGATATTCCTTCTTTGTTGTTTTTTTTCTTATGCCCGTCACCTGTGCCCTTTCTTAATGATTCATTCACTCCTCTCGCAAATAAATTTAAATTGAAACATAAACAGTACAACTTGATGACCTTTTTGTTAGCTAAAAGCAATGTCAATTCTAACCAAACTAGCAAAGCGCCCATTTATAGAAACTCCATCGTCGATAGACATCCATGCACTGACGCGATCTTCAGCTGGCCTCGTGGATAACACTAATATCAGACTCCCCTGATATCATACTGACTAATATCACTGATAACCTGAGTTTTCAACACGACAGTCAAACTTGCAGTGAACGTTCTTTATTGCTTATCAGGGACGTTGGAATTTTTACAAATATCTACTCTTTGTAGCTTACCTTTTTACTTCTCAATCCAGTTTGTACCAACGTTTGAGTAAATTAATATATAAACACTGAACTGGTAGCTAGCACTTCTGGTGGTCTCAAAGGATTTACATAACAAACATCCTCGTTATCAGGTCTCTCCCAAAATAACCTCAACCGAAAATAGTCTGTTCCAGGATTTCGGTTTCAGGGGGCGAGCGAAAGAACAACCAAGACGAGGGCAAGAACAAGGGGGATCGGTAGATGAAAAATAGCGCTCCACTGAAGCTGCAAACTTTCTCGACTGTTCATAATTCCCTAGTTTCTCGTGTTTTGCTGTCGATCGTTGACAAGCTGTAAAAAGTCAACCATTCTCGCACTAACTGGATTTTCTCTCGGTAGTCTAGCCGGCTCATCCCTTTTGCGGCGCCGCTGTTCATTCAGGGCTGTCCGTAGCACACGGTAGCTGGTGATTTCTGGGATTTTGTTAACGTCATGGACTGTATTATAACCATCATTGTTCTACTTTTTCTCCACTTGCATTTTTTTGTACTTATATTTTTACGAGAACTTGACAAGAAGTCAGAATAGACAGACTGGGTATGAAAAGAATGGATTAATTTACTGGAAATTACCAATGAAGTAAGTAAATCTTTCAACAAGTCTCTTTTGCAAGTTTATCAGTGTTGTGCCAGTCTGCTCTCCCATCGCTTCTTTCGCAACCATTGAGTTTATATTTAACAAATTGACGTCAGTTTTTTATGCGTCTGTCCTCTTATTGATGATAAATTGCGTCATAACATTATCAAAGTGGCTGTGGAACTACGAGCCGCAGGCGAGTGGTTCCGCAGTAAACTTTGACAATCTTATGACGAAATTTATCATCAATAAAAGGACAGACGTATAAAAAACTGACGTCAATTTGTTTTTTACAATAACAAGACCCCAGAATGGTCAAATATAAATGAGGGGAAAAGACGCCGTAAACTTGCCTTAAACAAAGATAACTGAACTTTATTCCAAATTACATTGTCACAGCATTGTCAATAGCTTTTCTCGCTTTTTGATTGGTTACTTAAAAAAGTTCATTAAATCTCATAAGTTAAAAAGTTGACAGTTTGACAGCTGAAAGTTGAACTTGAAAGCTTGCATAAGTTAAAATTTCATCCGTCCGTACTCTTATTGATAATAAAATGAGCCAATCCGCGCGTGAGAAATTAGACAGTTACTGTAAATTTGGTTTCGAAAGCCTTCGAAACCACAATATTTAAATCGGGATTTAATCACAAGCTTCGCTCGACTGAGATCAATAGAGGACATCTTGTACTTCTCGCCAAGTACACTTCTCAGAAGAACAATTTAACTGCTTATAGTATCGTCGAAATTGTACTAGTGCTGGTACTTTTAACACAGACATGGTGTTTTCCAATCAGTTCTTCAGAGGAAAACTACGCCAAAATTTGTGCAAGACGGCACCGTAAGTTAAAGGATTTGTTCCTAAACACAGACCAATTTTAATATAACTAACCTGAATGTCCTTTACTGCCCCTTAAAATATTGGTGTGTCAGGTACAATGTTTGTAGTACATGATATTAATGCAGTTCAATGACTTTTACGGGTAGATATACAGTGGAACCCCGCCCTACGGTCACCTCGTTTTACGGTCACCTCGCCACTTTTTTTGTTCCGGCGAAACGCCCATACATTTTCTTACAAGAAAACCCCGTTAATGCGGCTGCTCCGTTTGAAATCCCAACCTGTATAATCCTTTATAATTTTACCCCGTTAACGTTTATACGGTCATTCATGCTAGCTATGTTCATCTTTTCCTTTTTAACATTTTACACACTGGTTCAAGTTTCGTTTCTTTTAAACGTTATACTTGCGTTCCGGATGTTGTACAAGAACAGTTGTTTAGAAGTGCAACTGTGATATATCTCTTTAAGATGTCACTCTATTTACACGTAGTCTAGTCGTGAAGTTTGACCTTACCCCATTAATACGGCTAAATTTTCATGGCTCGTTGGTGACCGTAATAACGGGGTTTCACTGTATGATGTATAATTGAACGGGAGGTAGAGAAATGGAGAAGAAATCAGACGGCTCCATCTCAGTCATAGACAAAGTTTTGTTATACAGGAGAAAAGGGCTTCATGATTGCACGACATTTCGTTTCACTCTCCATACAAAGAGGTCGGACTGCATAACTTATAACCCAGGCCTTGATAAAATAATGCATCTATGATACATTTGTGGTGTTAACGTAGAACTTTCCGTAAGATAAATATTATCTGTCTAACCGCAAGGTATGCAAGTTCTCTATTTCCGTATCTAAAAGAAATGATGGTCTGTCAGAAGCATGTGTAAACTTTCATATATATATCTTTTTTTATTTTATCGGTCTTGTATGAAGATAAATTATTGCAAGTGTTATTTAGCAATAAAGGCTGGATAAGGCAATATAAACAGACAAGAAGGTTGCTTTACTGAGAACGGAATGGTAGTTGAGTCGCCCGGTTTTTTTCCATTCATCGTATAAATATGCAAATCAACGTCAGGACACGGTAAAAACCAAGGACTTGCTTTGCCCTTACCACATATCGAACGTTCAAAAAAGAAAGAAACTACTGCATTAAGGGAGTAACAGCATAGACAAAGTGATTTTTGCCGGTATTAATCACTTTAATCGTTGTGTCCTACATCCTGGCAATGCTGCAGTGAACAACAATAAATTTCTAGCATTTTCTTGAAAGAACACTTCCCCTTTTCCTGCTTTCTTGCAGATTCATTATCTTCCCAGCGCTGACGCAGAAGATCGCTTCGTGCGCCCCAATTCCATGTGGACAGCGAGATGCTGTGTTTGGAATGATGAGAGTGAAACACAAAGAGCCCAGTCCATCGCGGTCATGGGAAACAATGATTTTGACCGAGAAAGAGCTGGCATGAGAGCGATGAACTTGGCAGAATTATAAACAATTATTGGATGATGTTTCTGTGATATCCGGAATAATCAAGGTCGAGATAAAAGTTACCAGCCGAAGCCGAAGGCTGAGGCTGATAACACTAACCGAGACCTTGTTTATTTCGGATATCACAGAAACCGAATCTCATAATTGTTTTATTGTTTTAAAGAAAATAACGACCAACGCATTATCGCACCGAGCACAGTTTATTTTCGACAAGCCATGTTCTCACGTGAACTTGACGTGAACTCTTGGAAATCATGCATTGCGCGCGCAACCTACCGATTATTCACTAATCTGCTAGCAGATTAGTGAATAATCTGTAGGTTGCGCTGTTTCCCAGAATTAACAGTAGGCTTTTAGCCAATGAGAAGAAGATGGTGACTGCAATGTATAATAAGAAAAATTATTGGTTGATAAAAACAGTGAACCTGTTTTCCTTTTCCCCTCTGTCAAGGAATGCAGAAGCAACAGTTATCTGTTGTAATATTACATGATGATCATAATTTAATATTTATGAGTTAGAAGTGTTCAAGTATTGTCGATGAAACAACAAGAATCCGAGGTAAATTACGTACAAGACTTAACTCATGTAGACATATACATTTACAAGATGGTGGAAAACTCCAACCGCGGGAAGAAGCTAGAGCCAGTCCCTTGGCGTATGGCCGAGCATACTGTGACAAGAACTCGTAAGATTTATTGAACTTGTTGGTGGGATGATCAACAAGGACTAAGTTTATGTTTAATGTGGTGTTTGTTAGACTCAAATAATTTATTGACCTTTGTGTCTGTTACTTCACTCTAATAATGCATGAAAAAAAAAAAAAAACAGACAGCAGACAACAGAAGGTTTAAAAATGTAATATTTCAGCGATGTGTTAGTATTACTTATTTCTTTAACTTTACAAATAACCTTATTACAGTTCGCTCTGTTTTCTGTGCTTTAAAACGGTCTGTTAAGTATTTTCAGTACTGTAAGTAATATTAGTATTGTAAGTAATCTTAGTTTTTGCATGTAATGTTAGTAGTGTAAGCAAAGTTGGTATTGTAAATAATGTCAGTATTGTAAACAATTTTAGTGTTGTAAGCAATTATTTAAAAAAATCTTTGCCTCGTGTTTCAAGCTTAGGACAAGTCTACAACATGAATCGTTTCTTGTGAGTGAAAATTACATCTTGATTGCTTGCGGTCATCGTGAACTACATACAAAAAATGTCAAAAATAGTTCGTCATTCATCCAACACACGAGACTTGATACACGAGTGTTGAAAATCGTTACATTGACTTTACTATTAATCAACTATTAGAACTATTTAAAAATATATACAAGTGTACTTGATATTTCATAGATCCAAGATTTCTTGCTTGAAAAAAGACGACCGCGCGAAAGGGAAGCCCTCAGATTACAGTCTCAAGACAAGATAACGCTAAAAACATCCTTGATGGAAAAACAAACCCTTACTTAAAACCCTATGATATGATATGCTCTGAGCTTGACTTCTTGCACAATAACGACAAATTTTAGAAGTCAATATTGAGATTTCAAGTGTGTTATGTTACTGCTTGTAGAATTCTTTCTTCCTTAGCTTCAATTTGAATTATTAATGGTAAGAATGTTCTTCTTCGCTCTGGTTTTTATTTTGTGCTTTAAAAATGAGGACAAGATCTTTGCACGATGTGGACTTTGGACATAGATGACCCTGGCCGGTATCACGTGGTCTTCACACTGCAAAGTAAAAACAATCAATCACTGAATGATTTTTATGCGTTGGATTGATTTTTTCCCTCAAATTTTGATTTGATTTCCAACAACAACAGTAATTCATCGCACCCACTTTTCTGTTATTACTAAACCTGTTGTCATGCATGCTAAAAACACAGTAAAAATTAAATGGAAATGCATGTTAAAATATATAAGACACTCGCTTTTCCTAAAAATCATCGATTCCCATTTCCTTTTCAATTTTGGGGTTTTAATTCAGAAAGTTATAAGGCCATGAAAGCTTCGTTAAATTCAATGAAAATGAACGCGTAAAACAGTGCGGAAGACTCAGTCTACATATCGCTATTTTTCAATGTGGCGGTTTCAATTCATAAAAGGCTACCACCAATTCATCTGAGGTAGACGAATATTAGAGCTTGTAAAATACGATCCCAGTGGCTCTGTTCTGTATAGCATGAATTACCAGTTAATATATGAAGGGTTTGAAAAGAATGACAAATAATCCTGGTTAGTGAGAATGGTATGGGAAGCATGATGACCTAATGCAACAGGGTGCCGGACCCTGGATTGAGCCGTCCTGGTTTTAGCCCTGGCTTGGGACAATGTGTTTTGTTCTTGATGTGGTGGACATAACTTTACAGAAAATTTGAATTGCTATACGTGAGTCATGTGACTATGAACACTTGGCGGATTTTTGTTAAGTACAGAGTTTAAGGGTTGTAATTCTTCGTAGATTTTGCTGTTTCTAAGGTCAAGTCCGATTTAACGGTTTAACTCCAAACCAGGCAAGATACTTTACTGATCTCAAAGATAATGAATGAACATTGGCAACTTAGTACTAAAGACTGGGGGGGNGGGGGAGCCCTGCAATGGACTGGCAATTCATACAAGTAAGGGAGATTAAAAACACGGAGAAAACGCGCAAGCCTGCTGGGCCACAAAGCTTGAACGCAGCCTTTTTTTTTGAGAGGAAAACAATAGAGCACGGACCAAGCCGACCTATAGCAACTCCACCCTTTGTGAATGACATCATGTAAGCTTACCATCGCATCCAAATACCTCAAGCCTCAAACAAATGGCATTTTCCCATGACCTTGGGTTAATACGAAGATACCTTGTAACTAGAGGCTTTTCTAATTTGTTATGATGAACTGTGAACGAATCTTTGTTGGCTTCGAAAATCTACAAAGAAATGTGAATACGAGTAAATCATGTTATATTGTTTTAGGTAAAAAAAGTCATGCTGATTTCATGTGATTTTAAACATATCAAATCATTATTATCGTGAAATTTTCTATGTGATTATTACCGTAAAATCCCAATACAAGAAGTAAAGCCTGCCCTATCATGTTTATCTGTTTAAAAGACTCTTTCGATGGATTTATTTTAAGTGGTGGAGGGGGGGGGGNGGGCAGGGAGGCAGAAAGCTTTTAACATGGGGGTCGTATTATTGGAAGGAGCTTTGCGTTTCAAAACTGTTTTGGTATATATTTGGAAGAGAGGCTGAGTCTGTAATTTTTTCGGCGCTGTGAGTACGAGATCAGAATAACGAATAAAACTCTCTACACTTATGAGGGTATGAAACGCAAAATAAGTTCCATTCAATAGTCATTAATGATGAACATCAAAAGCTACATGTTAGTCTATGGGCACAAACCAAGCCCTGCAGGGGAAGTTCATAATCAGAGGAAGTTATATTTACCTTTAACAATAAATCTGAATTAAAACAGGAAGAGATAATTATGGGACAGACTTTGTGTCTGATATTTGGGAGGTTTATCCTTGAGGAGAGGGTCTCTCCGTTGGAATCTAGCGGCATTTAAAAAGTAGCTTCACCTTTTCCTTTCCTTTATTTCCGTATTGTTCCCATTTCTTTCCATCATCGCTGTACAATAACGCATAAGTTTTCACATGTCTGTCCTTACTACCAATCTGCCCTTGTGTGGCAATCTTTGTGACTTCAGTTTTTCTGGACAAATCCACTTGCAGATACTGGTTTTCGTCGTTTTTTGGCGGGCACCATGCGTCCGTAGACGTGAAATTTTTTAACATGCTGGAAGCTGCGATTTCGCCGTCGTTAAACTCGCCAGCTTGAATTCCAAGTGGCTCGAAACAACCTGGAGGGCAATATCAACACTAATAGATAAACAGTTAAGATGCAATGCCCACACGAAAAGCAAAGTAACACAAGTTCTTTGCATGGTATATTTTAACACTGTGTAAAAAAGCAACATAACCGAGATTCCTCTGTCTAGAAAGAACTTTCAATACGAGTTTTAAAAAAGCGTAATATTCTCTAGAGAATTGCTCTTCTATCCGTCTCAAAATTATTCATTCATATGCACGCGACTTTTTGAAAATTCTCAAGAGTATCGTCACCTGGTCTGAAATGGGGCAACAAACCACCCAAGCTTACAAGGTCTATGGTGTTTAACTGAAAGCTGAACACTATTGCAGCTGAGAAATGACTGGTTACGGTTTTGAAACTGATTGCTGAAATCTCAGAAATTTATAGGTCTCGATTTCCACCGCTCTTTCGAGTCTGGTCTACGTTCCTCTTCGGGGGGTAGGGGGAGGCTCTTTTCCAGAACAGCGGCTGATATTCGAGCCTCACTGATATCTGAAAAATCGCCGAAAATATAATTGAATCTCAGATTACATGACCTCCATCCGGAGCCTCTTGTTGGGTTGATATGATTAGTGATCACGGTATAAAGTTATCCGGCCGTGTTATTGATACGAAGCTGCTAAAGTAAATATTCCTTTAGTAAGATTTATTGACAGAGTTCTTCTGGAAGAGAATTTGCTCTCAAAGAGCCTTGTTATCCAGCAGTATAAATGCGCCCCAAAAAACCAGGGGCAACCGTAATGCGGTCCACTGACATCCCATACAGGGAAACTGAGAAACAATGCTCTTAATCGTTTCAAGTTAAGGCAACTCTATGCAATACTCCGATCCGTGTCTTTGGGCTACAAAACATTGGATATGCTTCGGCAGGGGAGTGAGAGATGGGGGAGGGGTGGGTATATCTTTCTGTTAGTGCAGGGTTTTTGCTTTAAATTGCCAGTCATCATACAACAACTGATTCATTTTGTATATCACAGAGTCTTACCATTGTCTTCGTCATCGCCCAATGCCCAGGAAACAACACACAGCAAACCAAACAAAAGCACTGGTAATGGTGGATGGCGAACCATGCCTGGAAAGGAAGAGATAAGACGGTGTTATTTCATAAGACTGTGGCATGATATGAAAAATATATACCGGTCTTATACCAATATTCTTTGAGTTATATGAATGAAATGCCGCATAACGAGAAATTCCAGCAACTTTAACGTTGAAACGCTACAAACCCGTCGGTAGAAATAGCGATGTATTGTCAAAGATGTCCAAAATTCAAAAACCGACTGGCATTTAAGTTATCAAACGATGATTTGAATTTGCTCAGTCGAAGCTCTCTAAACCGACAGCTCTATATGACAGACAGCTGACGTAATCCCAGAAAACCAGAATTCATATAATCTCTATCTCTCTATGGCCACCTCCATAATATGAAAAATCCACTCCACCCATTGGTGGTGTAAATATTAAAGAAGTTTGCAGGATTGTATACCTACCAGTTGGCTAGTGGGAGTTTAGTTAAGATAACTGAATTATCTGTGGAACTAAAATTTGTCCTGTCCGACTGAGAAAACGGATTTCAAGGTCACTTCTCCGGGGCAACCGGCCCGTTAAATATCCTCATTGCAAACAAATGACATAAGTAGGTTATTTCCCTCGGTGCCATGGCAAAACAAAAGACTGAACATAATAACATAATAGAAATACTGCGACCTTATTGTAGAATCATTGGGTTTAGTGCATGGTTCATTTGATAACTGCTTTGAAGCGAGTGAGCTTTGTCTTCTTAACCACAGGTGTGAGTTATTGTAACATAAACCTTGTTCATTATTAAATACTGCTTGTGTGGGGTTTCATTATGAACTGTTACGCATGGCATCTATCGAATTAACGATTATTTTGCGGATTGCATTGGTTTATCTTAAAATTGTTTTTTGAGCAGTTAGTGGTACATCAAGATAATAATTAAGTGGCAATACAAAGATCGCAATTTATAGACTTGATTTAAACGAGGTCTACGTTAGATTTAGTGGTGGAAATGAGTTTTGCGCTAGACTTCATAATGAACGAGACAGAGGTTAAATGGCATCATGTGATTGAAGTAATTTGTGTAATAATAAGCAACACTTTACGTAGACTGCAGTGTAATACGTGAAGCTTTTTTTTTAAACCTGCTTTAAATGTTGTCTAAATTTCGTTTACTGACTGGTAATCGACCCTTATTATATAACTAGCTCTGATGAACCAAATCCTATGTTGAGACTGAATTTAGGGTGTGGAAGATGGAGTTATCTAACTCACTAGAGATTCCCAGGGTACGTGTCAAAGACCTAGCCTCTTCTAGGGGTTCAGTTAGTTGGGAAGCATTTTAAAATTTTAGTCCTTTTTTGTCTCTCGCCGTTTTCGCGCTGATCACCAACTGATTTAATGCCTGTAACAGGTTAACAGAGACGAAGAACGAAAGCCAAAGGATAGGGTTGGACAAAACCCTTGCCGCGAAAATTTGAAGCGATTAATTCAAATCCCATAAGGTATCCCTAGGTTAACCGCCCAAATCCATTGCCAAGTTACACGACGTTTTGGATTTTACAATATCATCGTTTGTTTAAAATTGTCTCAGAAACAGACTTGCAGTATTTGCGGGCACCAATGACCATGCAATAGGTCACTGTCCGATATATTATTCAACAAATTAAACAATATTTCAAAAAAGGCTAAGTCTGAGAAAAGGTGAAGTCGGTCAGTGAGTCATGCTAACATCAGTAAACCGACAAACATGAGAACCAATCAAAACAACAAGCTCTCTAAATAATCAAAAATAGTAAGTGACCTGTATTAATGGTTATATCGGATCATCTAATCGATAGAGCTGAAGTCTACCTACTTATTCTGATCCATTGATGCAAAACCTTCAACTTTCAAATATGACTGTTACCACGCAAGAGGGTCAAGCAAAATAATTGTTAGTCCTCGACATTTTGTTGGGTCGTAAAGCTCTGTGAGCAATCTATGTATCGTGCCAATTTTCAAAACGAAGTCTGTTCACCGAATTCAAGAAATCTTGTCTTACGAGAAGAAGAATCCGACAGTTCACTCTTTAAAGTTATCAGATGCATGTGACGTTTCTTTAGTTTGCTCGATTATTGACTGGTTCAATATTTGTAAAGAATACGGCGCTCATTGACTTTCGTATCATTTTATAACCGAGGTATATTATATCATATAACTCGCGAAGAATTTGAAATTTGAGACCCATTTGAACTTTTTTTTGGCAGTTTTTATTTCACCACCAAGTCGATCAGTATAGCTCTAGTAAAAGAACTGGCGCTTAAAGATTAAATGATTTGTGATCGATCAAACGTGGAACTTTCCTGGAATATAATATTACACCCAGCCAAAATCAATATTCTATGTATGACCAACAAAGATACTTTTGCCTTACCTGATTTCAGCCGGACTTCAAAAACATTAACAGCAAAATTAAATTCCCTCTTGAAATTCCAACCGCGTGTAACTTAAAATCACAAACGGCTAGCCCGCTGAAAACAATGCATTAAAGATTTAAATAAGCAAGTAGTAGAAGCAGAGTCAGTTTTGATCTGTTTTGCTTAGCATTTGTTTAAATAGTCAGTGATAAGATAAGAGCTAAAGTATTGTTCAATTGCTAAAGTAACTGGTGCCTTATTGTTGATCCGTGGCTGACCTGCTGTTTTTGAAACTTGCTTGGCGCCTTTTCAGACAGCCGTTTGGCAGGTCTCATGACATTCTCAGGCAACTACACGACTTTTAGGAAAACAATATAGAATGGTGAACTAAGCATATAAGCTTCACGGAATTTACAAAGCGCTAAAACCACGCATTGGGAAACAGAAAAACTCTCACTTAATTAAATCTAATAATTCTCGATATCTATATTTCTCCAAATGTTCGCTTAAACTCACTGAGTATGGCGTGTTATTATCAATAGGGAGCGTCGCAGTTTTCGTTTCTGTTGCAAATATTTCCTTTTGGTCTTGAGGATGTGAACGATAGCTCACGTTGTTGTAGTAAACTTAAAAGCCACAAAGGCTGCAATATAACAGCCACCTTACTATTCACTCACGTGACGTTCGCTTGTCCTCCTCACCAACCCGTTTGGTCACGTGACGTCCTCGCTGTTTCCCGCGCTGTCCAAACACGGTTTACGCATATTGAAAAGTTTAGCCTCAATTTTTCAAATTCGTCGTTTGCAATCCGTGTCAATCTTCTCCATCCTTAGCCATCCTTGTTCCTTTTTGGTTTATCATTATCCCTTTGGTGTTTTTCTATCTTAATAAACTGTTATTTTCAGGTTTCTTACCATTTAAAGGTAATTTTGTAAGTGGCCAAAATAACTCAAAATACAGTGACTGAGCTCCGTTAAAAAAAGACGCTCCAACTGGCCGAAATGGTATCTTCATATTACTACTTTCCTTTTTAGTATAAAGAGGATTTGATGTCTTCAGAGCACGTCAATGTTTTAGGCCGTTTTAAATGAGAATCGACGAGTGAGTCATCGTTTTTGCGGTCGTTGGGTTTTGTCTTGAAATCGCAAGCTCTTCTGATTGGCCCTTTCTGCATTATGGGTTTCCCGTGCTGGGCCATGTGCCGTTCTTTCTTATGGTTCTGTCGCGGTAAGTAATGAGCTATAGTCTCAAACTGACTAGTCTGTAGTTCCAATACTCTTTGAATTGATTTAAGTTTTTAACAGTAGGAAATCATTTTTGTTTTGTAACATTTATCAGAGCATCCTCTAATATTACTCCAGTTACTTTCTTACGTGTCTATTGATCATTTGCTGTGTTACGCGACATACACTAGATATGCAACGCTTTCAAGCGGTGTTTATCGCTGATGAATACGTTCATTACATTCCCATACAGACCTTATTTTTACGTTATTCCGTAATTAATATATATTTGTTATTGACCAAGCCTGCTCAGTCAAGTGGCCAAGTTCTGTTTTTGTATGTTTATGGACCTCGACTCCGTCTCGGTCCATAAACACGCAAAAAAAGACGGTGCCAATACCCAGCCATCTTGACCGAACAAGCTTGGTCAATAAAGGATTTACGTGGCTCTCGCGGTAATTTTTCTTGCGGGACACAGCGGGTAGTCCCGGCGATAGGGCAAGATAGCGCCATCTTGCTAGCTCTGGTAGCCAATCACAGCGCAGGATTTGTTCACTTTGCCCGCTCACGGAGCTAGTCATATAATAACGCAACATAACGACGCTAACACGTTTGGGATACCTGTGGTAACCAATTAATTTACCAACCAACACACTAGCATCGGTAGCCGTCACGTCATCACTGTTTTTATTAAGCTTCCTCAGAGAGGACAACACATAGTACGTAATAACAATGGATTCTGATTCTACATCAATTATCGCTGTTTTTCCCCTTTCCTATCCGCTAACATCATACATGCCATGGGCTGGCAAAGTTATATATCATACGTTGGTCAAAATAAATATATTATACAAATAGTACATAAAATACGGGTCAAGCTATGTATATCAGACGATTCTGCTTCATAAATGATATGGTGGTCTAAAATAAATACGAATACGCAAGGTAGACAGGAGTATACAAGGCAAGTACCGGTTGAGCTGTACTGGTAAACCTCACATCATGAATTTATATCTACTGCGCCTACAGATATCTAGTTGAGTACTTCGTAACAATAAAAACATTATTTCATATTTTTTAGCCATGACTCTTTCATCATTGAAATAATATTAAATTTTATTAAATAAACGTGGACTAGCCGCTTCGTTTATCTGACTTGAACTTGATACAGTTGATCCCCGCTATTTTAAATTCTGAGGGTAAATAGAAAAAAAAGATCCAAACAGCGTGGGTTCTAAAATAGCCGATACTAAACGACCAAAAATTAAAATAAAATAACAAAACCAGGGGACCAATCCATGGGAAAAGGGTTTGAGTTCGAATTAGCGGGGTCCAACTGTAATTGTATTTTTTTGGTTCCGATTTTTCATTGTTTGCCAATACACGTATCCGCATTCTTTCTCTTTACTTCTTCTCGAAGAGTTTTTAACTCCACGAAGAAAGGAATCTTGTCAGTCGCGCGAGGATATGTTTGTGTTCTGCCGGATGTGGAAGGCATCACATAAACAACCTGCAGATCAAAAATTATGTTTTAAATATTCTGTGCCTTGTGGTGACCTTGACAGCTGTTGGTCTAAGAAACAAGCCTCGAACAGCATTATATCTAGAGTCATATTTACCGTGTTAGTTCCAGGTATAGGATCTTTTTGACGACCAACTGTACACTTGGATCCAGAGAACAACTCGTAGATTACTGTTGAAAACAAGCATTTCAGTACATTACTTCTACCCAATAAGTAAAAAATGTGGGAGGCGAGGTGGCCTTGTGGTTAATGCGCTCGTCTCCGGAGCCGTGACAATGGCTCTCTCCACCCATGCAGAGCGATAACTCTGCGATGGACTAGCATCCCATCCAGGGGGGAGTAGAAGTACTCTTAGTCGCTCCATGCTACAGAAACCGGGATAAACTTCAGCTTGGCTCGTATGCAGACTAAACATACTGATCAGATAATGCCGAAACGTACCAAAACGTCAGCCTGCCAAAAAAGTATGATTAGGTATTTACCGTATCTACCCGTATCTACGTGGACATATCAGGTCAGTGGCGTGATATCGCAGGATATCATGACGAAAACACGGATAATTGCGAATTTGCACGATCATGCTACAAATATGAACATGCTGGAATTTTTCCAGTGTGACGCCATTTTACATTATGTCGATTTCGTGGCAATGTAAGTTTCAAAATGGTAACCTGCAGATAACCAAGACCCGAAATGGCAGACCTGTTTTTATTATTATTATTATTATTATTATTATTATTATTATTATTATTATTATTATTATTATTATTATTNATATCATGACGAAAACACGGATAATTGCGAATTTGCACGATCATGCTACAAATTATTTTTATTTTTATTTTAACACTTTTTTTCACCAAAACCAAAGTAGTTGCCTTTTTTTCAATGGCTTTTTTGTTTCTACACCATGATTGTTTCAAATACTACCCGTGTGTTAAGTTAAATTTGATGTTTAAATGGCCAGACACAAACAAAAATGCTATCCCACAAGAGGAATATCTTGTCTGTTTGTTTGTTCTAAATTATGTGTACTTGGCGCTTCAACATCTTTTGTGTAATACAAACCTTTTCCATTGAAACAAACTATCAATGGCTTGTACTGCTCCACTTTTCGTATAAGTTCGTCCTTGCCATCTCTCATTTCCTGTCTATAAAATGACAGAAAAAACGTTATTCAGGGCGTATTGCGTAATGGATTGTTCATAACTTTCAGAGTTCTTCTGGCAATTGAGTGCAACGCACCCTGTTGCCAGCGTGCTTTTGTCACTTTTTGATGGAAAGGGGAAGCTGAGGTGGGGTTAAAGGGGTCTTGTCAAGATTCAAGTGTCGTTTTCACGATTCTCGAATTTACGCGTTTTACGGAGTACCCATCGATCACCACAGAAGTCGACTGCAACGCGTTTTAATCCATGGGTCACATTATGGCCAATCAGGAAGTCACAAATCTTGCCTTACACCCCTTCCTCATTTAGTTTGTTCAAGATTTGCATGCCGTGTTGCTTAATTAATCTCGGGTAACGTTTGCTATTTGGGTTCATTTTTGGTGTTTCACCTGGAAAGGTCTGCACTTCCTCTTGTTGTCCGTTCAACCATGTTTGTTAACCCTATTCCATAAGATGGACATCTAACATCGTCTAGATGGGTCAGTTTCTCTGGCACTAAGCCTGATTCATAAAGGCAGCGCCCTGTAAAACAAACATTTATAGGCAGCATATTTTGCGTTTTCAATTTTGCTTCCAGAACTGATTGTTTGTTGTTATACTTGTAGCAAGCTAGTCTATATACTTTTATTTACATTTTTATTTATGATCTTTTAAGCTAGAATAGTAAACAGCAAATGCAAACGAAATTAAAAATATAATTAAAACGTTTTACTTTCAGCTCCAGATCTCACGGACGAATGCGGCAACACGGACTTTTTAAGATCAGACAAACAATATAGGCGAAATCGTTGTGTTTAACAATAAGAAAACAAATTTCCCTGGTCTATTGATAGATCTTTGTAATACAGTCAAACCTCTCCACAACGGTCACCTTGGTGACAGAGGGAAGTGATCGTTATAGCCAGGTGGCCGTTATGGGAAGGTAGGTTGTTATTAATAACACCTGTCATTTTTCGGGGGATGCAACATTTTTGTCTTTTAAAAAATGCTTATTGTGGCATATAAGAATATAACACAAACAAAATATTTTAATAGAACAAAAACTAAATAGAAATAGAGACAAGGTTCGTGACCTTTTACAATAAAAAATTGGGTTTTGTATACACTGTTCGTCGGTTGTTAATTGACTGCTCATTGTCGAGAAGTTGTTTTAGCAATTAGGACGCGTTTTAGTGGCCGTTACCGTTGTGGCCATTAGAAGAGGTTCGACTGTAGTTAATACCCTACTTGCCAATCAACTGCTTGAATTAGGCAGTGACTTCAAAGACAATGGATGTTCACTTTATAATATCATGTAAAACATGGCCATCTATATAATTATGCCACAGTAAATAAATTTTGTCATAAATGTGTATGAAGCTAAACAGGTAGTTAAACTTTCACAAAGTAGCTGCAGAAGATTTCAATTAGACTGCCAAAAAAGGTTTTTCTTGAGTGTCAGTTTTGAAAGTTCATTGTTTCTAATGCAAAATAAATTTATTGTTTTTGTTGACATTAATGTTCACGATTCTGCTAAGATTTCATTCAAGATGTCTGGGAATGGAGAAGTTTATACGTGAGTTACAACTTACTGTAATTATCTATGGCAATTAACCTCAAAAGAAATTGTTAAATTTAATAATAAAGCAAGAAAGAAAATTACCCACAGAAATGATTATTTGCTCCAGCATAGTGATGTCCCTTATAAGCTGCCATCAATCCTGGATTTATTCCTACCTATATACAAAAATACCAAACTGCAAAATTTGACTGCTACACTTATCATAAAGTTAAAGGTAACAAGGTGTTCTATTCTTCAAACCAAACATCCTCAAGCCAGTTGTTCAAAGACTGGATAACACAATCGAGCGGAGAAATCACTGTCCAGTGGATAAGTGTTGGTAAAACGAACTAGGCTATTCGATGGATAGCCATTTATCCAGTGGGTAGTATTGTCCACCCTTTGAACAACTGGGGCCTGGAAATTTTAATCTAGAGATTNAACAAAACCAGGGGACCAATCCATGGGAAAAGGGTTTGAGTTCGAATTAGCGGGGTCCAACTGTAATTGTATTTTTTTGGTTCCGATTTTTCATTGTTTGCCAATACACGTATCCGCATTCTTTCTCTTTACTTCTTCTCGAAGAGTTTTTAACTCCACGAAGAAAGGAATCTTGTCAGTCGCGCGAGGATATGTTTGTGTTCTGCCGGATGTGGAAGGCATCACATAAACAACCTGCAGATCAAAAATTATGTTTTAAATATTCTGTGCCTTGTGGTGACCTTGACAGCTGTTGTTCTAAGAAACAAGCCTCGAACAGCATTATATCTAGAGTCATATTTACCGTGTTAGTTCCAGGTATAGGATCTTTTTGACGACCAACTGTACACTTGGATCCAGAGAACAACTCGTAGATTACTGTTGAAAACAAGCATTTCAGTACATTACTTCTACCCAATAAGTAAAAAATGTGGGAGGCGAGGTGGCCTTGTGGTTAATGCGCTCGTCTCCGGAGCCGTGACAATGGCTCTCTCCACCCATGCAGAGCGATAACTCTGCGATGGACTAGCATCCCATCCAGGGGGGAGTAGAAGTACTCTTAGTCGCTCCATGCTACAGAAACCGGGATAAACTTCAGCTTGGCTCGTATGCAGACTAAACATACTGATCAGATAATGCCGAAACGTACCAAAACGTCAGCCTGCCAAAAAAGTATGATTAGGTATTTACCGTATCTACCCGTATCTACGTGGACATATCAGGTCAGTGGCGTGATATCGCAGGATATCATGACGAAAACACGGATAATTGCGAATTTGCACGATCATGCTACAAATTATTTTTATTTTTATTTTAACACTTTTTTTCACCAAAACCAAAGTAGTTGCCTTTTTTTCAATGGCTTTTTTGTTTCTACACCATGATTGTTTCAAATACTACCCGTGTGTTAAGTTAAATTTGATGTTTAAATGGCCAGACACAAACAAAAATGCTATCCCACAAGAGGAATATCTTGTCTGTTTGTTTGTTCTAAATTATGTGTACTTGGCGCTTCAACATCTTTTGTGTAATACAAACCTTTTCCATTGAAACAAACTATCAATGGCTTGTACTGCTCCACTTTTCGTATAAGTTCGTCCTTGCCATCTCTCATTTCCTGTCTATAAAATGACAGAAAAAACGTTATTCAGGGCGTATTGCGTAATGGATTGTTCATAACTTTCAGAGTTCTTCTGGCAATTGAGTGCAACGCACCCTGTTGCCAGCGTGCTTTTGTCACTTTTTGATGGAAAGGGGAAGCTGAGGTGGGGTTAAAGGGGTCTTGTCAAGATTCAAGTGTCGTTTTCACGATTCTCGAATTTACGCGTTTTACGGAGTACCCATCGATCACCACAGAAGTCGACTGCAACGCGTTTTAATCCATGGGTCACATTATGGCCAATCAGGAAGTCACAAATCTTGCCTTACACCCCTTCCTCATTTAGTTTGTTCAAGATTTGCATGCCGTGTTGCTTAATTAATCTCGGGTAACGTTTGCTATTTGGGTTCATTTTTGGTGTTTCACCTGGAAAGGTCTGCACTTCCTCTTGTTGTCCGTTCAACCATGTTTGTTAACCCTATTCCATAAGATGGACATCTAACATCGTCTAGATGGGTCAGTTTCTCTGGCACTAAGCCTGATTCATAAAGGCAGCGCCCTGTAAAACAAACATTTATAGGCAGCATATTTTGCGTTTTCAATTTTGCTTCCAGAACTGATTGTTTGTTGTTATACTTGTAGCAAGCTAGTCTATATACTTTTATTTACATTTTTATTTATGATCTTTTAAGCTAGAATAGTAAACAGCAAATGCAAACGAAATTAAAAATATAATTAAAACGTTTTACTTTCAGCTCCAGATCTCACGGACGAATGCGGCAACACGGACTTTTTAAGATCAGACAAACAATATAGGCGAAATCGTTGTGTTTAACAATAAGAAAACAAATTTCCCTGGTCTATTGATAGATCTTTGTAATACAGTCAAACCTCTCCACAACGGTCACCTTGGTGACAGAGGGAAGTGATCGTTATAGCCAGGTGGCCGTTATGGGAAGGTAGGTTGTTATTAATAACACCTGTCATTTTTCGGGGGATGCAACATTTTTGTCTTTTAAAAAATGCTTATTGTGGCATATAAGAATATAACACAAACAAAATATTTTAATAGAACAAAAACTAAATAGAAATAGAGACAAGGTTCGTGACCTTTTACAATAAAAAATTGGGTTTTGTATACACTGTTCGTCGGTTGTTAATTGACTGCTCATTGTCGAGAAGTTGTTTTAGCAATTAGGACGCGTTTTAGTGGCCGTTACCGTTGTGGCCATTAGAAGAGGTTCGACTGTAGTTAATACCCTACTTGCCAATCAACTGCTTGAATTAGGCAGTGACTTCAAAGACAATGGATGTTCACTTTATAATATCATGTAAAACATGGCCATCTATATAATTATGCCACAGTAAATAAATTTTGTCATAAATGTGTATGAAGCTAAACAGGTAGTTAAACTTTCACAAAGTAGCTGCAGAAGATTTCAATTAGACTGCCAAAAAAGGTTTTTCTTGAGTGTCAGTTTTGAAAGTTCATTGTTTCTAATGCAAAATAAATTTATTGTTTTTGTTGACATTAATGTTCACGATTCTGCTAAGATTTCATTCAAGATGTCTGGGAATGGAGAAGTTTATACGTGAGTTACAACTTACTGTAATTATCTATGGCAATTAACCTCAAAAGAAATTGTTAAATTTAATAATAAAGCAAGAAAGAAAATTACCCACAGAAATGATTATTTGCTCCAGCATAGTGATGTCCCTTATAAGCTGCCATCAATCCTGGATTTATTCCTACCTATATACAAAAATACCAAACTGCAAAATTTGACTGCTACACTTATCATAAAGTTAAAGGTAACAAGGTGTTCTATTCTTCAAACCAAACATCCTCAAGCCAGTTGTTCAAAGACTGGATAACACAATCGAGCGGAGAAATCACTGTCCAGTGGATAAGTGTTGGTAAAACGAACTAGGCTATTCGATGGATAGCCATTTATCCAGTGGGTAGTATTGTCCACCCTTTGAACAACTGGGGCCTGGAAATTTTAATCTAGAGATTATATAACCTTCTTGCCTAAATGACATTTAGCTGCATGAAACTAAATTAAAATCCTGATGAAATGTATTTCTTTACATGTAGGATATACCGTGGACCAAGCAAACTCCCACCTGGTGTGATCAGTCCTAGATTCAGACGTTACAAATAACACTGAAAATGACAAGATAAATAATATAAATTTTCAAAGTTGTAATTTTCTTACAAATAAAATATCCAAATTGTAATCCAGATGTTCAGGTAGTTTCATTTTCAGTACATCTTCCTCAGACATTTCTCCAAATCTTTTTATTGCTCGCCTTGGTTTCTTAGGAGATTTTCCTGGCTGATTTTGCTTTTCTAAATTGATGGCATCACTACTACCTCCAGCTTCCTGATCACTCTGCTCCACTTGTGATTTCTTTATACTACACATCAATAATCAATTAGAAATAAATAATAAATATTTTTGAAGCAAGGTAAAAGTTTTTTCCCTAATGGTTAACCTATAATCTATTGATTAAAATACCCAAACTCTGAGCAACAGAGAAGACCCCTGACCATTGCTAACACTGGGCCGAAGCCGGCAGCAACCAAAAAAGCTGACTGCCCTTAGTGGTGAGATGGACCCTGAAGGGCCAATAATAGCAGTAATAATTAAATAATTGTGTACTGAGAAATGCCTGGATATCCGAACTGCTTGAAGCACTAACCACTAATGCCATAAAAAAGCCAAAATGCTTACAAAAGCCAAATGCTTCTTGCTCCCCATATCATTAAATAAATATTTTATAAAATTATTGACTATGTTAAAGTATTATATATAAATTATCACCGATAAATAACCATACATGACCTGCATAATGTTGTAATTCCCATCCTCACATAGTATGGCACAACAAGCACAAGCTCTTCAGGCACAAAAGTATTAATTTGATAAACAAGGTCTGGGCATTGCCGTATTTAAAATTAAAAAGAGGAGCTTCAATTGTGTCACCAAGGAGGGGACCTATAAGAGGAAGCCACAAACATGTCCATTTTGAGGTATAGTCGAATACAATTCCCACAGAAGGTCACATAGCTAGACGTGTTCTTGAGATGTTCAAAATTTTCTGGGGGTGCTTCAGGACCCCCCCACCCCCCCACCCCCTTTTTTTTTTTTAGGAGTGTGGGGAGATATGCCCCCAGAGCCCTTTAGAGGCTTGTGCCTTCAGCACTCACACAACTTTCCTTGCCTGTGTTGAAAGTCTGGTGACTGTCTATATGCTTACTTCTGACAGTACTGTTTTCTGTAAAGCTAGCGCTGTTTATGTATGGTTTTGCTTTGAACTGTAAATAAGAAACCTTGATACTTTCTCTCTTCTCACTATTGTCTTTCAGAGTTCCAATTTTTCAGATAGCTGATCTATCTTAAAATTGGGGATAAATGTTGTTTAAAATATGTTGCAAAGCAAACTGATATTTTTCCTTTTTTATGTTAGGTTCATATCAGATTATATTGGTTCAGCTAGCATATTACATCTGTTATTTTCAAAATGTTTCGCATAATTACATGTACAACAAGTCAAGTTACGTTCAAGGTCGTTTCTTTCTGATCTTCGTTATTTTGACTTAATGGATTGATGCTTTTAATGTGATTTGAAGAAGTGGAAAATAAATAATATTAGTATGGGGTAAGTTGCTGCTATTCAGCTACTTTGTAAATATGAATGACCAGAGCACGTGAGGTTTCAGCAGTTACCTATTCAATAGGCTGTTTAATATGAGAATTTTAGCTCGATGAAGGTTTTGATGTCTAAGGTGAAAAATATTCCTAACATAAAGGCACATATAAAGAAACTTAACGACTAAAAATGATTCGTTAGTTTTCTTGAACCAGCCAGTGTCGTACACATCTTCATAGTTTAGTCATGATCGTTCATGAGTGATATTAGGTATAAATGTATCTATCTGATCCATATATCGACCAATAAGCGACCTCTGGAGTGAATATAATAAAATATATCTACATACATTTACATTCCACTTACAAGTATGGACTGTAACGAAGCGATTCTTCTTGATTCTGCATTCTGTATTATACGATTGAGGGTTCCTAGCCGGCTGGAGTGTTTACCTTTATGCAACCTCGTCCCCAGGGCCTTCTCCACTTTTCAAAATATCATCGAGGAGAAGGCCCTGGGGAAAAGGTTGTAAATTTTTGCGTCTGCAGTATTAAAGCCAGCGGTTACCAATTCAACATGGCGGACGAATGCTCCTGAAATATTACCAATTGCAAGAGTTTTGCTTTTGGAATGTGATGTTGTTCGAAAAACTAGCGGGGATTAAACGACGCCTTGGTGTATATAGGTTCTTGCCATTGTTTTTCTTCATTGGAGCCGGCATTGAACTCTTTATGATAAAAGTTCGCATAGGAAGAGAGACTTTCTGTAAGTTTTTTTTAGCAAACTTTATCATTATGCAAGCCTAATCGAGCTTAGCCTTGCTTATTCCTTTATCGTTAAATGCTCCGGTATTTTTGTCTGGGCATGATAGTTGTTCTCTTTCTATTTAATTTAACAGATGACGTTTATGTTAGAAAGGAGTCAGAAAGACAACTGCAACGAAGGGCACAAGAACAACAAGACAAGGAAAACGTAACAGCACAAAAATAAACATTTGGAACTGTTTCATTACACACCATGCCCGCTGGAGTATCGTGGTCTAGATATTTGACATTCTTCGCAGCAAGCCTAGCTACAGGATTGGCAGGAAGTCAGGCAGTTCACTTGTACTACAAACCAAGTCTTGTAAGATTTATGTGTTTTTTATTGCTTGTCTTGTTTTTGGGCAGTTGTGAAATTAAAACTTCAAATAAAATCAGGATTTGAATACATACCTCCCTCCTCCACAGAGACTTCCCCTTTTCCCAAGTAGCCTCTGTGGAGGAGATACTGACCTCTGCGATACTGGTGCAGTCGTTTACCTAATCTTTTACCCAGATCTCACTCTTTTTGATCCTGAAAAGTGAAATAACCCTTCTGCTTGGCTGTGGAGGGTCTGGGTTTGAGATTACATGTATTCGTAGACCCAACTGAGCAGTCAAGCCAACTGGGAGCTGGTCATGTTGCAGGCCTTATTTTCATAGTTGTGTATGAAAGTGCAATCATCTTTAATATCTTGAAAGCTTGTCAAGCTAATGTTATGAAAGTTGTGTTTTGGAAAAACAGTAAAACCTATTTACCATGAGCATGGAAGGGCATGAGCTGGGAGTATCCATCTGATGATGTCTGTGTTATTGAGTTAGAGATTATTTGGATTCTAGATTCTAGATACATATTATGGAGGTGACCCTAAGGATCTGTGTTTCACTGTATGACATGTTAGTTCTTGAGGGGTGGGAGCTGGAGGACTCTCAATGCGACACTGATGTAGAATTGACTTGCATACCCAAAGTCTTTGTTTGGTTACCGTAAACGTCCAAAAGTAACAACCCACCTTACTTTCGGAATTAGCAGCTTTTAGGGCTGGTTACTTTCAGAGGGTTGTTACTTTCAAGGGGTCATTACTTTTGGGAAGCAATAAATTTGGTACAAATGAGCTGTTTTCTTACAAAATAAAAACAAAAAAACAAAGCAAAAAAAAGGGGAAATTCGTAAAAAACAGGTCTTCAAACATGAATTACAATTCTTCATGCCAATTTGCATCTATGTTGCTGCCATATGGGTGGGCACTTCATTTCTAGATCGTGTTGTCAGTGGTTGGCAAGGAAAGCTTGTCACATACCGTAAACTGTGTCTACTTCATGACGTACTGCTACATTTAGTAGTCTGCTGTAACAAATTATATGTGGGTATGCTGGGTGAGTTCTAATATGCTTCAGTCGAAAATGATGCTAATTTGAATCAAAGTTTCCTATAGTACATTCCTGTTACTTGTAGAAAATTCCATGGGTTCTGTTTCAACCCAGCACAACATTTACCGGTAAAGCAATAATTGGCATTTCACAATTCTTCGTGATATAAGCAATACCTTCCCTTGTTGTAGATTGCCTTAAATCAAAAACAAAACCAAAACCAAACCAAAGACAAAACTTCAATTTGTCCAGCTTTCACTAGACTATTGATTTGAAAAATATATATTTACTACGAACCTTGGTTTCATTTTTCTTAACAAGGCAGCGGAGGGGTTGGAGTGGGCTCGCTACTTTTGGAGGCTTGGTACTTTCACAGGGGGTCACTCCTTTCAGGATTTTTTAGCGGCCACAATTTTTTGATGTTACTTTTGGGGGGAGTTGTTACTTTTGGAAGTTTACGGTATACTAGCAAATGTGGTGCAAATTGATTCTGGCTATAGAATACTACATGGAAAAGTAGTTATCTAACCAAACTGTAATGACTTTCAATAATTCTTCCTAATCAGGAAATTCCAGACGTTCCGCCTAATCCTAAAGACTTACCAGAACAAACAGGCTGGAGGAAATATATTTCAATAAAGAAGGACTAATAGATATCAATGGTAATATCTTGTCACCCACACTGCCATGGTATTTTGAGTTGGTTCCATGTGACACCAATAGCTGACTATCATGATTCTCTTCTATGAATTTTCAAAATAAAATCTTAATTCTACGTGCACTTTCTGTGCCAGGTCAAGGGAGAACTTAAATTGCTACCTTTTAAAAGATTCTCTATTATGTACATTTAGCTGCTGGAAGTGAATTCTAAGAGTGATAGAATTAATTTCAGTACATTGTATTTGGTTTCATGTGTCCTGTTGATTAATAAAAGACAGAATTGGAAATTCTGCTGACAGATCTGAGTGCTTCTACCTTTTGTTGGGTACTAAACAGTGTACTTTATGCAATATTACTAGGGTATCTAAAAGATAATAATGCTGCGGTACATTCTGTTGGGAGTGACATATTTTACACAGTGATTCTGTACTGATACGCATTAAATGTCTCATGTATGTTGCCAGATGTGTCGAGTACGCGTCCATCACGATGTGCGAAGATGATAAAGCTTTAGCTTAAATTCATGTTTGGATGAAAAGGAATAGATTGCAGCATATAGGACAGCAGCGTGTTCTACGGGTTTCGTTTGTTTTAATATTCTACAAGCTTTAGTAACGACGATTTCTCTTCATTTAAGAATTCGGCCAAGGAGGTGAGATTGCTAAGAAATGACATACAGTACTAAGTTTAAAATTAAGATGTCACAATTAATCGTCCAGATTTACAAACTTTCACATACTGCATTAAGAACAAAAGCAAGAGTTGTGAAAGCCGGGCACAATCTCCTTCACATCGTTTTACAGGCAAATCAAAGCAAAACATAACCACTAATCTTTCTCACTGGAATCCGCGCGAAAAGGGTGACGGCTCGGTCGAGCCGTAGACGTCCTCGTGTTGTTCGTGGCGCAACGCGGCACTCTGATAAAAAGTGGCGCAGTACACTCTGGTTAAATGCAATGAACTCTGGTAAAAAGTGATGAATTTGAGAATTCGTACCCCCTTCTATACATTCTTCTTAAATCCTGATTATGTTGCTGCTCGCTCGCTACGCTCGCTCCGCAGCAATAAGTCAAATTATTCTCTCATTTGGATTGGTCTCTTGGAGGACAGACGCATAGATAATGCCTTTAACATTATTTTTGATTCTTTATTGTATAAAACAAGTAGATTCCGTGTTGCTGTGCGTCTGTTCAGTAATAAATCACGGAAGACGTCAAAATGTGGTAAGAACGTCAGTGACACATTCGGCTATCTACTCATGCGCCATTTTTGTTTTGTTCATACCACATTTTGACGGAATTTGTGATCTATTACTGAGCAGATGCCCAACAAAATGGAATCTATTTGTTAACTAGAGGTCTAGAAAATAAAGGTGCTAGGGGATACAAAAGCCATTAGGCATGTGCATTCAGCTGAGAGTGTATACCTGAAATTGCCTGCATGTATTTGCTTAAGAATATAGGGTGGAAACTTCTCCTACAATTTTGATTGGAAAAGAACAAAGTGGAAACCCGTTAAAAACAGAACAGGATATCAAAGTTTGGTGGCAATAACACTGATTATGTCTTGAACCTGGGAGACCCTGCAGTTGTTGATGATCAGTAGCAAAACGAAATAGATGTCAGCAGTGAGTGTATCACCAGACGGGAAATATAGGTAGTACTGAAGAACATGAAGAACAGTAAAGCAGCTTGAATGGATACGCTCGCAACAGAGCTATTGAAGACTGACACTTAGACAACATCCCCCGTGGTGAGGGCACATCCTTATATAGGTTATATAGGTAGGTGTGGCCCCGAAGGGTATGGTTTTTCAGCCGTTTTCAAATTGGTAATAAATAGGGTATTGATTTTGGTCATTTTGGTCTCAAATAAGGTATCAGGTTTTTGCACTCTAGTCTTGAATTAGGTGTGTTTTTTTACGGGAAGCTATTTTTTCATTGTTATCGATTACACCTTTAATAAAAGCCCTTGGCAATGCCTTTAACATTGGCCTGAACTTGGTAACTAATTGTAAGGCAGGTCCGAAACAGGCCAGGGTATTGATTTAAGCGTCAGGTCATAAATAGGGAATCAAAGTTTTGGTCAGGTCTTAACTAGGGTAAGGAAAGTCACAGAGTTTGGTCATAAATAGAGTAAGGGTTTTGGGAAACGGACCGTATACATCACTTCCACCCAATTTTTCTAGGAGTAGCTATAGAAAAATTGGGTGAAGGTGAAGTGCACGGCCCGCTAAAATTTAAAGCTGTTTTTGTTGCCAAAATATTTCGTTCTGCGTTAATAGAAATCGTTCCCGAACCCCTCAGACACACAGTAGAGATATAATAAGTATCTTGCTAACCTGTTCTTCTCGTTCCGTTCTGTAAGTTACGGATCGTTTTCCCCCCTTCGATTTACGGCCCGAGCGCTTCATGCTCAAATTATTCACTTATCAAAGACAACAAAATGGTAAACTTCCTTTCTCAGATATTTTACTGAATCAATTCGTCCCCATTTTGCACCATGGATAATGGACATCTGTCACAAAAACACTATACTGGTCTTTGAAGTAATTAATAACTTTTTAAAATTCTTAGCTGATGGAGCGTTGAAAAACAATACAACCAGTTCCAGTTTTCGTACTATGAAGATCTTGATAACATTAGTTAAAAGTTAAAGTCTCTATACGAGCCAAGTGGTCCATCAGGCCGGAGCTTATCCCGCGGTTTCTATTGCATGAAGCGACTAGGAGTATTTCTACTCCCCCCTGGATGAGATGATAGTCAATCGCAGGGCTAACCACCAATGACATTCGCCGGTACCCAGTTTAAGACCTGGGTAGAGAGAGGCACTGTCAATCTTGCCCATGCAAGAACACAACACAATGGCCCTGGCCAGAGCTTGAATCGCCCAGACCGCTCGATCCGGAGACGAGCTCACTAAATATCAAGCCATCGCGCCTCCTTGAAGCCAGAAGACTATCCACTGGAGGTAACAGAGGAGAGCACCGTAAACAGTAATAAGACCATGCTCAGAACAAACTTTTGAAAATTTAAGGTGGCTCTGCCAAAAGTTGCGTCTTATCATGCTTAACAAAACTTGATAATGTAAAAAAATTCCACCGTGCCGTTTTTGAATTATAAGCACCTAAAGCTGTAATCATAATCAAGGGTGTTTTTAGCGGGTCGTACTGTTGCTATGGCAACCTATTGCGTCACGAAAATGATAACAAGGTGTTCACTAATAATTGGGCAGTTTTTTGATGCCATGATAGTAGCATGTTAAAGAGTGGTTATAATGACCCATCAAAAGCTAACTGCTGGAAACTATTTTGAGCTGGCTTGAAATCAATTTAATTTTAATTTTAGCATGTTCTTGAACGACCCCACAAGCAACTGAACTTTAATTTTTAACGTGCTTTCGTGCTTCAAATGTCATTGTTTATAGTGCTCAATGCGCTTATCCACACCTAGCTAGTTCACAGGCATGCCACTTAAACTGAAAGAAACAAATACATCGACTGTCTGTAAATATTGACCAAACAACGACACGAGTCGACAAAATTGATTTGTTAATTTTTTTGTCAATAGATTGGTCCTAGCTATAAATCAAATGGACCTTAGTTAGTTTCCACTAATACAGTTTTTTTTTGGAAGAAATTTGCGCAAAACGAAGTAACCCGATTGTGCTCAAAATCGACTTCCGGTTATGCTAAATTTTCTGAATATTTGATCGCATTACGCTCCGTACAGCAGCAGCTACTTGAGAATCTTTCAATGATTTTTATATTCAGCTCACGTCTTTATAGTGTGACTAATCGAAAACTAAAATGACTCGAAGTTAGTTTTGAGCCCGAACGAGACAGAACAGACACGCAAAATTTGGCAGTGTGTTGCAAACTAGCCTGTGAACAGGTTCTCTAATCGAGGATGGGGCGAAAAGAAAGCACGAAGAAAACGAATAGAAGAGAGAGAA